TTTTTTTTTTTTAAAATGGAAACAAATTTTATAACTAATTGTAAAAAAATTGTTCATTTTAATGGACAATTTTCATATAAAATAAAGCCAAACGAACACAAAATTTAAAAATTTTTCGGGAGGAAAATTATACCAATCAAACACTTTTAATTAATAATTCCCTACAAAACAATTTTTAGGCAATTATTTTCTTTGAAACTCATTTTCTTTTCACCCATTTTCCACCTTTACAATCAAATGTACCCTTACAAACTACTACACGTTTAGGAAGATATTTTGTTGATTGCTGCAAATTATTCCAACCACAAAATTCATACTAATTTCAGCAGATATTCCTATCAATTTATAATGCATATGTATAAAAATAATTCACATGCCACCAAATCAATTTTGGTACATATGATTGATGATTATGTTAAAAAAAAATTACCACATTCTCTAAACTTTGAAAAATTAAGCTTTTGTGCTGATAACGTGTTGTAAAAAGAGAGAAAAATAGAAGATAATAAAATAAGTCAATAGATTTGTGTGTATTATAATGAAAATCAAAGCTCTATATTTATAGGGAAAGAATATGGATATATATGGTAATAATATTTAGGGTTGCAGGGGTACAATTGTCATTCACCAACAACTTACTATTTATAACATTTTTAAGACATTCATTTAATTCTAAGTAGATTTAATTAGCCCAACATGTCTTTAAATGAGATAAAAGTACTTATATTTTCCTCTTAGGCCTTCTGGGCCATTAGTCTAATTTCATGAAGGGAAAAAAAAAAATCATAAATTAGGTATATAGTTTGCACCAATTCACAAATCAGGTTATAGTTTGAAAATTCAAAATTCAGGTATATATATTATTAATTAAAAATATTTATTAATTAAATATAATAAAGTCACAGTAATACAACTAATAGCCACAGATACAAAATTATAGGTCACAATTTATTTATTGATCACATATTATTAAATTAATTAGTCACAATTTATTTGTCGGTCACAGATTTTTAAATTGGTTGGTTACAGATTATATTTAAGTCACATATTACTAAATTTTTAGGTCACAATTGAGTAACTGGTCACAGATTACCAAATATTTGGTCACATACTATCAAATAGTAGGTCACCCATAATCAAGTAATTGGTCACATACACCAAATAGTGGTCACACACCATCGTCGCCAATACTACCGCCATCGCATCCAACCGTCTTCGTTGCAGCCAGATCCACCACCATCCCTGTCACTGTTGCCACCACCACGGCACCACCACCACCACATCACCACCACCAAATCGTCGCTACCAGATCCAGTCAACAAAAACCACAACCACCACCACTATTGAATCTCTAGCCACTACCACCACTATTGCACTACCACTACCACTATTAACAAACCGCGTCACACCACCCAACAAAAAATCCCAAACCCGTCATTGCCACCACACCCCCACCCGTCGCAACGCCACAGCACACACCCCAACAAAGATCCATTGCAGATCGTCGTTGCAGTTGCAGATCACACACAGATGCTCCGGTGCAGATTGCCGTAAAGCGCAGCTGCTGCGTCTCCAAGCAAAGAGGCTCCGGTCTGTTTCCGTGGTGGCGACGGCACGGCGCGGCGTTATCAATTAGGTTTTAATATAATATCTGATTTTTAAATAAATAATCTTTGGACCTGATTTTTAAAAAGCAATTTTTAAATACCTGGATTTATGTGATTTTCCCTTTCATGAACTTCTCCTCAGTTTTAGGTTGTTTGTATTGGGTCTTTAAAAGAGAAGTAGGGAAGAATACACATTTAAGATAGTTGGAATATACAATTCAAAATTAAGAAATTAGGTCATAATTGAGTTTAATTAATTAAATAGATAATTAATTATATTTTGTTCATTAAACATATTAAGGTCACAATACTATACATTTTAAGGTCACGGTTACTTACTAGTTACAATCATACAATGTCTATCATAAATCACAAATTTCATGTGTTACAACTTATTTTTAGGTCTCAAATTATCATTTCGATAACAATGTCATACAACTATGGTCACGGTCACAAATCGAATAAACTCAGTCCCAAAAATATAAATTGACTCAAAATTACAAATTTAGTCGCAATCACACATTTTTAGATCACATATTATTTATTGAATACGAATTACCTCATTTTATCCATCACATATTATTTTTTTATTATCACAAATTAACTATTTTATTAGTCAAATCACCAAATAATTGGTCACAACGCTCTTCACCTCACCCCACTCCACTCTAGCACCATCGGCATCAATCGAAGGCCACGCTATCACGCCTCAACACCTCCGCCGATGTCGTCGCTACCACCACCACCATCATTTGTAACTACAAAACAACCACCACAATTTACAAACTATTAATATTCAGTAACCACCTCGCTAAGCAGATTGAAGGAGGAAGAAACCATCTCAAAACCCTAAAACCATGTGTACCGACAATCCTAAATCCACCTCAAAACTGCAAGTACCACCATGAACAGTGGTGCCGTGTGAGGCGTCGCTTGCCGCTATGCATAACTCCTCGCGACATTACACGGCGTTGCGGATCAGTGATGGGGTGGGGTGGGGTGGGGTGGGGGGTCCGACGCCGAAAAAGAGAAGGAAGATGGGGGCACTGTACTGTGTGATTTTGGAATTTTTGGTGTTTGAAATTTGGATGGGTATAATTTAAATAGAGAAAATAGGGAGACAGAGGATGTTGGAAAAAAAATTAATAATAATATTATTAATATTAATTATGACCGGATTTTTATATAAATAATTCTTATATTTGATTTTTGAAATTGGTGGTTGTAAAACATGGATGGATATAGTTTCCACAAAGATACTCGTATTGATCAATGTGTAGCTTAACCAAATCATAGACAGATTCCGAATCCACCGTGATGTGCTCAGAAAAGCAGAATAATTCGACTTTTTTGAGCAGGGAGCTTGCTAACAAAGAAAGATTCTTTTTTTGAGACGAATAAAGAAAGATTCTTACTACTTAACTTTGACGCTGCTTAGAGGTGTCAAGACGGACGGGCCGGCCAAACCGGTGAAAATCAGCTCAGATCGATCCGCGGTTTGTGACCTGAGCGGACAGTTCACAGGTCAAGGAGGTGTGACCCGCGAACTTCGCAGGTTACACCTTCAAGGGCAACGGTTAACCCGCTGGCCCGTGATTTTTTTTTGTTTTTGAAAAAAAGTAGGTGCTAACTTAGTTGGGTTGTACTTATACTAATTTGTTCAAATTAAATTTAACTTTACAAAATTATAAATAATTTCTGTAACATTAAATTTGAATTCTATGTAAACATTTCTTGGTATAAATATGAATTTATCATTTTGTTAAATTCTTATTTTACATTTAACAAACAAAATATTTTTTGCTATAAATATAAAAATTCTATATTTTTATAATTTTATTTATATAATCATACGGACCAAATCGGAACAAACCACGACCTGCATGGACTTGACCCTAATAGGTCAGCGGACGGACTTGAGTTGTAGTCCAAAATTTGTGGGCCGACCCAGAACCGGACCACGAACCGTAGCGGGACGAGTTTTTTTCACGCAGGCCGTTATCGAGCTCATATGTTGGCGAGCCGACCCTGCCCCGGACCACCGAGATTCACACCTCTAACATCAAGGCAACTGGCAACAGATGGTAATAATCAATTAGTTTATAAATAATCACAAATAGAAGCTCTTATTCACCCATTTACCATATTTTCAAATTTTATCTGTTTCACACTGATTATCAAGATTCTACACAACTCAAGTTTCATCATTAAAACTCCCATTCAACCCAGCACCACCTTGAGCATAATTTACACAGTACAAACTAAGAATCATGTAATCAATCCTAATATGTACAAGAGAATCATAACCAATTACTCCTTTTTTATCAAAGATGCATACCAAGGGCCATGAACACTGACAGAAATCTTGGCTGCCGTCACCAATACTGAGGCGGCAGACACCAATTCATCAAGGAGCAAAGCCGCCCCCACTTTCTGCAATGCTGTTTCTGCCAGTTCNAGTTTATATTTAACAAAAAAAATATGAAAAATTCTATATTTTTATAATTTTATTTATACAATAATATGTGCCAAATCGGAACAAACCGTGACCCAAGCGACCCGTGACCCGCATGGGCTCGATCTGGATGGGTCAGCGGGCGAACCTGGGTTGTAGCCCAAAATTTGTGGACCGACCCAGAACCGGACCACGACCCTTAGCGGGACGAGTTTTTTTCACGCGGGCCGTTATCGAGCTCATATGTTGACGAGCCGACCCTGCCCGGACCACCGAGATTCACACCTCTAACACTGCTTCAAGGCAACAGATGGTAATAATCAATTAGTTTATAAATAATCACAAATAGAAGCTCTTATTCACCCATTTACCATATTTTCAAATTTTATCTGTTTCACACTGATTATCAAGATTCTACACAACTCAAGTTTCATCATTACAACTCCCATTCAACCCAGCACCACCTTGAGCATAATTTACGCATTACAAACTAAGAATCATGTAATCAATCCTAATATGTACAAGAGAATCATAACCAATTACTCCTTTTTTATCAAAGATGCATACCAAGGGCCATGAACACTGACAGAAATCTTGGCTGCCGCCACCAATACTGAGGCGGCAGACACCAATTCATCAAGGAGCAAAGCCGCCCCCACTCTCTGCAATGCTGTTTCTGCCAGTTCTCTTCCATCTTTACCAGTTCCCCCAAGTACAACTCCTCTGGCAGCCAAATATATTGCACGAGATACCATGTTAAAAACAGCATCCTCTTGCTGCAGATTTTTGGCCAGCATTCTTGCCATAATTTCCTCCATTGACTCGAGCTTCATGCCAATTGACTTCTCCACAGCTTCACCGAGTACTTCAATGATATCTTTGATACTTGCATCCTTGTTAGAGTCAAGATGTGCAGAAAGTTTTCCGACGCTGCTAGAAAGAAGATTTCCCATGCCTGCTTGGCTCGTTACCATTCGCTGACTCACGAGAGCCTGTCGCAAGACTAGAATGCTGCAATCACACAAAGGGTTGGATTAGTTTGACATTAAAGATGACAATGTTCAACAGTGGGAAGGCCTAACATCATTGTGCATTCATATTTTTGTATTAGATGGCTGGGGGTGGGCGCCCTTTTCTTGGTGTGTGTGTGTGTCTTGAAGGTATGAGATCTAATTTCTAAACTTCTCAAATTTAGTGAAAACCATCAAGACAGTGAAGGTAGTTCTCACATTGAGAAAACCACCATATATCTGCGTGGCAGGTACTTTTTTTTTTTCCGTTCATTATAGCTATTGGGATAGTGCTCAATCCCTGACAGACCGGTCAGGGATATGGGGAAAAAAGAAGATAACTCAAGATTATTGCTTAATCCCCAACAGACCAGGCAGGGATATGGGAAGAAAAGAAGATAACCACCCTAGAATTCCTTTAGAGAGGTGCATTGAACTGCCGGAAGAGGGAGAGGTTCAAAAATACCTTGTTGCGATCACAACGATCTTCTGAACTCGAGACTGAACGGTTCTTAACCTGGAGAAGTTGAGCTTCATAGTTTCAGGAAGCTCATCCTCTTCCAATCCATGCACCTTGTTTACCAACTTTAACAAGCCCAATCTCACCAACGTATCAATCTCCTCTCCATTGCATTCTGAAGCGCGCTCGATGTTCTCTGTAAACAAGATGCCGTATTACAACTAACAGGACAATTCAAACCAAAATTCAACAACAATAAAGTTGAAAATCAGATTTAGATGAGAAAATCCCAAGTCCAGAAATCAACCTGTCAAACTTGTAGCATAGGAGGATGAAGAAGACGCATCAGCTGGTTTAGGGCTCACTTTATCTAATAAACTTCCACCAGTTCGAAGAGTGATGGATGGAAGGAAACCCCGAGAAGAACTCTCTCGTTTGTTTGCCAATGAGGAGAGATAACTTTTATGTTCACTCCATTCCTGATCTTTACTACCATTCACAGATGAAAGCCAATTTGCCGTTAATGGTAGAGAGGTGAAGGCATTAGAAGGATGTCCATAATGCTTGGTGAAAGCTTTTTCAAGAAACTCTAAAGCCCCCGGCCCCTTCAAGATAGGTTCCAACATTCTTATACGGGCCCTGCTTATTTCTTGTTTGAGTTCCTGCCACAAGGCAAAGGTGTCAAACTTTGATTGTAAAGGAATACAAAGAATACGGCAAAGACTGTCCAAAATAGACAGCATGGACATCTTAATTATGACTAATCTCACAATAAATTTCTCTATAGATCATTTCCTCCCAGTTTGGCAACCAATATTTGCGCTTGGTAAGACAGATTTACTCTATAGGAATTCCTCGTGAAACTTTCGTAGACAAATCAGTTCTTTTAATCTCATCATTTCAGGCACCCACAAGTGCCATACAAAATTGAGGTTCATACACATTTCCACACAAAAGAGAATGAAAAAAAACAACTAATTCATGAGAGACATCTCTAGCAACCATATGACTCAAACTAAACAGAAATATGACCTAGAAAGCAGTGGAACTGAGCAGTTGCAAAGCAAGCTTTCTACATGCAATGGAACGAAAAACCGAAGTAAAGAAAACAGACATAAATACCTGTATCTGTTCTAGAACAAAACGCAAGCCCTTAATGAGTGCAATAACATGTGAATTCTCTGACCCGTCACTGGCCCAACATATCTCAGTCAGCTCTTTCAAAAATTTCTGGTGTTTTTCCTTCAATTCATCCTCATAAGCAGGAGCAGAGAGCTTCTGCAAAGTGATCAATGCAAAGTCGAGAATCTTTCCCAGGTAACCAATGTCCACTTCACCCGAATTCAAGACCTAAGAGGGAAAAATTTGAGAGCACATAGAAACTTCATCAATTATGAACAGCAGATGAGAATGGACATAGTAGAAGCCAGGCATGAAAAGCAAAAAGAAATAGAAGTACAACAACGATTAGTTGTCACCTCAGTGAGAATGTCCAGGTCAATAGCTTCAATAATTTCTTGTCTCCAACTCTGAGGAGCCATTGCACAGATTTCATCGCTCACCTCCCTCGTCAACTCAACAACACGGCTATAGTTAGACTTGTCCTTTTTCACGGACTCCATGATACCATCCCAATAAGCTTTCTTCATAGTCTCCCTAACCTTTGCCTGCACATTGATCGATCCAAACACAGTGAATACTAGACTTCTAGCTAATGGAGACCAATATATATCTTGGTCTGGTAAAAAGCCTCACAAAGAACCGAGGAAAAAATGTTAATTGATACTACGAAAACCATGCACTAACCATGATGCTGTCTTGGTCTTCATCTTCAGCAGAATTAGAAATATCAACAAATTTGAGGTTCTCCCCATGGATACATTCATTCACAATTCTCACATTCTCCATGTCCAACTTCTCACTAGAATATTGGTATGGGCTACTGCTAGAAGATGGGGAACTAAATTCCTTGGGATAAACTTCGTCCCTAAATAAAGACCGCACTACAGGGCTTCGCTTATGAGTATTTTCAGTCAAATCATTTGTTTTCTTCGAGCTACCAAGGGAAGGTGGGGAATCAGTATTTGGGGATAGAATTAGCGTAGATAGCGGGCTGATTGGTCTTCCATTCTCAAATGCCTCAAAGAATTTCATTCGCGTGTCAGAGAGCGCATTTTCCATACGTTCGATACCTGCATCTCCACTGAGGTGTAGCACTTTCTCCCTTAAAAGCTTCTGATCTTCTGTGACCTGCATTACAAATGATTAGAACTCACTAAAACAAATTGATTTTTACTCAGAATTTTCGCCCACGGAGGCTGAATAATAGTACTCTTAGAATAATGGATTTCTTCTTACAAAATGTCCAAATGAAAATCCCAATTTCCACTAAACTTTTACAAATGTTCCCCAATTGCCATTGAACTTTAAAAGTTCTCCCCGAACAATAATACTCTTAGAATAATGGATTTCTTCTTACAAAATGTAAATGAAAAAATTAGAGTTAAAAAACCCAATACTAAACTTTCACAAATGTTTTGAAATTGTCATTGAACTTCAAAAGTTCTCCGAGTTGCCACTGAAATTTCCCAAATTTTTTTCAATTGCCATTGAACTTAAAAAGTACTAAAGAGTTGCCACTAAACTTCATAAAATATTATCTCACCCGCCACTACGTCGCTCGCCATTTTGAAAGGTAACGGACTTGATGAACTTACCAAAATGTTATTCCATTCGTCATTCCGTCTACCATGTCATCGAATCCGTTTAGATTTTAAATGGCAAGTGGCGGAGTAGCAGATGAAACAACATTTTGGCGAAGAGTCGTAGACCTCCTAAAATTCAATGGCAATTGGAAAATATTTATAAAATTTCAACGGTAGTTGAGATATTTAACCGGAAAAAAAATAGGATGCAGTTTCAGTCTAAAATCAGTTTTTTCTGGTTTTTCTTCTCTTTCAAATTATCACGTGTTAAAACTTCCATAAAAGTTGAATTGCATAGATCTCAGAACAAAATGTTCATGCACCAAAACAGACCAATCATTTAGATTGAAACAAAGAATTGTTTATTCTTACAACTGAATTATTCAGTTTGGTTGTCATCTGGAAGAAGAAAGAGGGGCTGGGAGGTAACCTGTTTCTGTATAGCCTTCATATCATGAGTGAGAAAACCACTATCTCCATCAGGAGTCACCTTGCAGGTCTGAATCATGGAGAGTTCTAGCCGACAAGCAGCCTTGACCAGATCATCTTCTAACGACCTAGCATCTTTAACCTTCCACACCACAAAGCTATTCAAAAAGGAACACCATGCTGAGTCAAATTCTCCAAGTTGAAACCTGAAAGTCCTACGCCCTCCCTGTACACGGTTAGACTGCCCATCAGAAACTTGTATAGGTCCATTTAGTGTTATCTTAATCAGCGACTCTAACTCCTTCACAAATTTCTCAGCCGATTTTGCCAAAGCAATCTCACGCTCCCCTTGACCACTGATAACAGCATCTGGATGTCCCAGTATCATGTAAGCACAAAGCACAACTCTCACTTGGTACCTTGATAGTTTAGCAGGAGTTTTGGCTGCTTGCCTAATGGGTGCAGTCTTTTTTTCCGCACTACTTGAGACATTTTTCATGGGTGTTTCCCTCCTTTTTGGGGAGGCTACTCGTTTCAGAAGGTGATCAATATCATCCAAACTAGAAGTATTAGGGGCAGATCCAGCTGTTCTTGACAAAATAAAGCGATTTTCTATTCGATCAAGTAAAGCTTTGGCCGTACGAAGGGTAGCAGTTGACTGGATAAGAAGTGCAAACTGCTCAAATGGCATTCCCTTCACGGATCCCTCATTAATATTCAGCTGAATATAAGCTCTGGCAAGATGTCTTGTAGTTTTTCTAGAAGTCACGAACTTCCTCCAGCACCTGCGGAATACAATATTATCCAAGGAATGGAATAAAAAAAAAGATCATCGTGCAGTTATAATATAAAGAACAACTTTCAGTGTAAACAAATTTTTTAAGTGACTTAATCTTGTCCAGACTTGGGAATCCCATTCATAATAATGATGAAAGTAAATATGCCGCACGTACCTCGCTAATTTTCTGGAAAGGATATCAGCCTCCTGCTCTTGCATGATATTCCAATCATAACAAACAAAATTCTGCACCCTTCCTCTCTGCTTTAAATATTCTGCTCTCTGTCTCCTTGCCTATTCACCATAAAATCCAATTGTTAAAAATTACAAACAAAGACAAGACCACCAAGTGAATCTTAATCCACATCCAACTATGAGAATACCCTTTGTAGTCTGTCTTCTAGCTTGTTCTTCATTTCCTTCCTCTCAATATCTCGCTGGTTAGAAATGGACCTTGCTACCTTCCGGACCTGCAAGACCCTGGCACGTACCCTCCTCTTCTCTGCTTCCAGCAATGCCAGTCGCTTCTTCTCAGCAGCTGCACGCTTTTGGCATATTGCAGTGCACACTCGTTCCTTATACTTTCTCTCCCGGGTCATCCTTTGAAGCAATGATTGAGACGTTCTCTCCTTTAGTGAGGCCCTCCTTTGCTTATAAGCCTTAAGGATAAGCATTCTATTGGCCTCTGCCTGCTGAACCCGCATTTCAACCTTTTTACCCAACTCAGCGCGTTCCTTTCTGAAGCGCATTTCAGCCTCTATTTTAGCAGCTTGCCGCAATTCATCAAGCTTAGCAAGGCGCATCTGCGCATTTGTCAGAATGCTCAACCTGTTAATTCAAAGAACTGAATAAATATGTGCCCACACAATCATTCGTATTTGAAGTTCCTAAAGACAGTGAATATTTATTTAAGCCACCTTTCAGGGCAGGACATTACATCTAGGTGCTTATTATCTTAGGGTCAGACATGTCACATTAAGGAAAATGATGAAAACATAAAAGGGAATACTCTAGTTGATGATGAGGTCTTTTTGGATTAGAGCTAATCGGATAAACTATATCACATTTATGATTTACTTGACCATGGAGTAACTCTTATCACATTTACATACCAAATAAAACAGAGAAATTAGCTTGGGATAAAGAGAAAGACAGAGACAAAGACAGATGTTAATATACCAAACTTTTCAAATGCTCAAACAGAATTAGCCTTTTATAAGTATGGTTTAATTCTCCCGACTGGGCAGTAGCATATCAGAGTAATTCAGACAAACAAAATACATTATAAACTAAATGCTTCCCAAGTTGCCTTTTCATGAAACATACTTGACAAAGAAAGTCATCTAAAAATGACCATGCCAAAAATTATGAAGATTCAACTACTAAAGGACGAGATAGATTAGTTTGTGAGCTATATGAAATCCCAACTCGTTCATATGCATGTTATCTAGTGCGTTAGCAGATTTCAGCTATCAATTGGCTTAAATTATCAAAAGAAGAAAAGTTTACCTTTTCTCTTCGGCAGCTTGAAGCTTAGCCTCAAGGCGCTGCCCAAGATCATCTTCATGAGATGAACATCGCGAGGGGCTTCTAGGCTTTGGCCTTGCCTTGCTGGACAAATTCTCATAAAATTTCTGTAATATTATTAAATGAAATGAAATCAGTCATGTTCTAGTATGTCAGGTGACGAAAAGTACATAAACAAGTTGACAATAGCAAAGCACAAAATACTCCCACCCGCCATCCCAAAAAGGATGATTAGAACAAAATAAAAGAATTTTCATCTAGAAGAGAAAACTGAAATTAAACAAATTTTGGTAAATAAAAAAAAACGAAAAAGAATTGTAAATTACGACAATACAACTCAAAAAGTAAGGCAAAGTGTGAAAAAAAAAAAAAAAAGAAAAAGAAAATTGGACCAACCAACTCTTACATAACTCAGGGTTGAAGAAACCCAACTCTTAAGAGAGACTCAATTAGTTTTCTTTGTGTGTGATAGAGATAAAAAAAAATTGGGAGAAATGAAAGAATTACAAAATCAAGAAACATCAAGAAAAGCATTTTTCCTGATAATTTTTAGAAACATTTATGATTTATCGGTGTACTCTCAAAAAAAAAAAAAAAAAA